TATAATACCTTTCAAAGTTATGCAAGCAGATGGATTGCATGCCAGCATTTCATCATCTCTAACAGATTCAAGCCAACTTTGTTGAACTTCTTGGTGCCATTGGTTGTAGCTGCCACCTTTTCTTGTTTTCCCATAGTGTGCACTTGCTGGAATYACGCTTGTATGGTCACGCTGAATTCCATCTAAGTATGAATCAGGAACGATTCGATCCTTGGATTCTATGGGCCTAACATCAAAGACTCTTAGGTAATGGAGTGCCACTTGATCTCTGAGTTCATAGAGGTGTTTTCTTTCCAATTTGCTCATGTGGTGAAAATGTCTGAGATTCTCTTGGATTTCTTCCATTTGCATCTCAATGAAGAAGTGCTGATATTCTTTCACACTTGCAAGRAAGTCTTCTGGGATTAATTTCAGTGAAAATAATGCTTCAGTTGGGCGGTTGGAGTTATAGATTTCATTGAACACTTGATGGTATCCAGATGGTAGTTCTCCAGCATAGCCAATACATGTGACATATACTTCAGAATTGCCAGACTTGCTTGTACCTGAGAATAGATATCTTAGTATAAGTACATTTATCCATTGGAATCAAGGGTGGTGCCTCTCRACTCTTGGATCTCAGGTTCAATTCCTGGACTCAGCATTACATGTGTGTAGTTCTCTCCCTTGATTTAAGGGTGTTTCTCTGGGTTTTCTGAGGTTTTTCTTCCTTCCACAAAACCTAACAATCTACACTGTAAATTTAAATGTCATCTGTGAGTAAGCTGTGCCCTGAATATCAACCCAGAGGTTGTTTCAGGGTTTTATCTGTGAGTAAACAATATCCAAACCTAGATCAGCACAGAGGTTGTTTCACAGTTCGATCTGTGAGCTAGCCGTGCCCTGACTTTGATCAGCCCAGAGGTTGTTTCAGGTTCCATCTGTGAGTTAGCCTTGCCCTGACTTAGATCAGCCCAGAGGTTGTTTCAGGGTTCCATCTGTGAGTTGGTCGTGCCCTGACTTTGATCAGCCCAGAGGTTGTTTCAGGGTTCCATCTGTGAGTTAGCAATACCCTGACTTGGATCAGCCCAGAGGTTGTTTCAGAGTTCAATCTGTGAGTTAGCCCTGCCCTGACTTAGATCAGCCCAGAGGAYGTTTCAGGGTTCAATCTTCATGTTACCTGGTTTGATGATATGAACCTCATCAAACAGACCACACAAAAGATACATCATGCAAATCATTTGACATTCAAGTGCTGTGAACATCTTGAAGATGTAAGTGCCTCCACGACTCAAGAGGTTTAAGGCAGAAAGGGTCTCGCAAAATATCAGCTGGCCCACTGTCTTTTCTTGTTCACCTGGCTCTTCAACACAACTTATGCTGCCATCAGCAGTCACCTAAATACAAACAGAGGGTGTTTTTTCATTTGAGTGGGAAGTAATATGTTCAAGCTTATGGGAAACTGCTATAGTGTTGCCTCTCAAGCCCTTGATGCTACCCCAGTTTACTGGATTTGCMAGTYTTGGTGCTGTAYGTGAGTAAAGWTGTTTGTTGGTTCTCTCCTGTGTCTTAAGGACTTTTCTCTCGGTTCTCCTCCATAAAAATCAACATCCATATTTACTGAACATCGACTAAAGAAGTCAAAGGAGTGTTTGCAGTTATAATGTGTGTTAGAAGGACTGGAAGAAGTAGAAAGTGGCTGTACGCAGGAATGGGATGTACTGGGGTATCATTTGGGTACATTTAATTAGGTAGATAAATGCCTTGGAAGTGGGAGAGGGGAGGGTGACTCATTGAATCTGGTAGGGCATGCTATGGTACACTATTACAGCACTTGGGTGTGTGTAGGCGAAGGGGGAGGGTGTACTCCCATATATAGCCTATACAGGGATGTTCTGTTTGGCAGGGTATGTTTATTTGAGGGTTTTGGTCTAAGACAGGGTATACAATTTCATTGACATTGTCTAGGACTGGGTAGTCATTATTGGATAGGTTAGCTCTATCTAAAAATTTCATCGCCAAACGATTTTTTTTAGCATGTACATGTAACTTCCACCATAAACACTGCTAAATTCTTTAAGACCTTACATACTGTAGGGCGACGTAGGGCTATAATGTTCTGTGTTATGTCTTAAACAGGGTATGTTTTTAAAAATATCCTTGTCTTAAATAGTCAGGGTTTTCAGATCCCAGCGGAACTTTTACTGAACCACCCCTAGTACCCCCCTCCCCAGTGTTTATTTACCAAGTGAACAGGTCCCTTGCTGTCACAGGCTTGCTTTAGGTGTTTCARGTTCTGTAGTCTCATCAAATCCCCAGTCCCATCCAGTCCAAAGTTCCAGTTTTCCAGTGTCTTTATGATGAAAGTATCATCATCCAACATAGCATTCAGATCATTTCCTTCATAATAAGGACTCAAAGTTGTAGCCAGCCACTGCCACTTCAAACCAGGGAATCTATTCCTTAGATAATGATTCAGACTTGCTATAAAAGCGCCAGGCGCTTCGCACAAATGCACACTAAGTAACTGTCCTCTGTCAGTGACTTCTTGTGGTACAACTTCATAGCTGCATAAAATCTCGTGCAACTTCGCCCAAGCTTGCGTACACATCTCAGCTCGTACTTTCTGTCTTAAATGCTTTACTACAAGTCCTGCTTTGTGTGTCCTTCGCGTGTGTTGGTGCCAATCTTCGATATCCATGTCATTCAATAGACTTTTCGTCGAATTGAGTTTATCTTTCAAGGCCAATAACTCACCAATAACAAACGGCTGTTCTTTGAATAAAAACTCACTCTCTGGTAGAACGAACTGATTTTCTTTAGACTTAAGCTTGAATTTCTTACTGAAGCGCTTTTGTAGTTCGTTCTGAATGATCTCCATACTGTCATCGGATAAAAATAATTCTTGATCTTGGCGTTGAACATGATAAGGTTGGCACTTCTTTCTACGTTTTTTAGGAGCCATGACGATAATATCAATRAAATAATTAAAGATAAAAGCTCTTCATACTCATAATGAAAAATTTCTTTTCAAAAAAATACGAGTTTTTCTGGTTTCTGTTTGTTTGAGGAAGCTTTTCTAAGCGTTTTCGCGAAGGACTGGACTCGAAACTAATTTGCATGCTGAAACCACTGACCGATAAACCTGCAGGCCCAAGTTATTAAAAAATGACAGAAATGGATGTCAGAATTGATGTCYTATTTGGTGTCCTACCAAACATTCACAGACCTGAAGATCTAAATCTAGATAAGAATCTCAGTGAGCTAGATAAACTTGGTGGAAGATCAGTCCTATTTTTGCTAAAACAAGCCGTAACGTTCTATTTCACTAAAGATTACAAGTCTTGCACATTTCACTCACAAACTGTTCTTGATATTACTTGGGAGAAATTGAATACTGGGCACTGGAAAGATGTGGATGTCACTTGGAGAAAGACTTATTCATATGGGAGTCTGTTTAAAGCTATGTCGTTGTACGAGGTTGGACAGATGAAGGATGCATTGACAGCTTGTGAYATGGGGCTTCTGTTAGGAGCTCCAGTATTAGATAATATACTAAGTAGACTTGCAAGTAAAATGCAAGACAATCAAACAAGTACTAWAAAGGATACACCACCAGAACAAGGYTTAACAAGCAGTATTGACAAACCTGAAGATGTTAGCACTATATCATGCCGAAACGACAGTCCTGAGAATGAAGACTTACCAGCTYGCAAAAGACAAAAAATTTCACACACTCCACTAATAAACCCAAAGTTTGAAATAGAGCACTGTAACTGTCCTTCTTTGGAAACATTTTACAATAATTACATGCTAAAAGATAAGCCAGTAGTTATAGAGGGGATGCTTGAACACTGGCCCGCAACGACTTGCCATAAGTGGAGTTTGAATTACTTAAAAGAAGTTGCAGGCAGTCGCACAGTACCAGTTGAGCTGGGTTCAAAATACACTGAAGAATCCTGGACTCAAAAGTTAATGACTGTAAATGAATTTGTTGATAAGTATGTAGAGCCAAGTGAGCTTVATAATGAAGTAGAAGTTGCATACTTAGCACAGCACCAGTTATTTGATCAAATTCCTGAGCTGCGGAAGGATATYATTGTTCCTGACTACTGTTGCCTTGGAGACGAGGACCGTGAGGTGATGATTAATGCTTGGTTTGGYCCAAAGGGTACGGTCTCACCTTTGCACCATGAYCCTTAYTAYAATCTATTGACTCAAGTTGTTGGTGAGAAGTATGTGAGGTTGTATGGCAAGGAYGAAACTGAAAATGTCTATGCTCATGAGTCATTTCTTCTTCACAATACAAGCCAGGTAAGGAAAAACATTGCATGCTATTACTATAGCAGAGCTTACATGTGAAATAACAGCCAGTCAGTTGCTGCTCATAATTAGTTTTAGTTTGATCATACCTCTATTGGCTTAATGTTACTGGTCAAAATGACTGGTGGCAATAAAAAGATTTGACTGGACAAGTTTTAATTCTGGCCAGAGATTCTCTGGTGACTGGCTCTAATGTGTAGTTCCATACCAACCCCACAGAGGAATTTGGAATTTCCRAAGAGTAGGGGGGTCAGAGAAAAAACAAGAATTACAGAGATTGTATGGAAGAAAATTAGAATTTCTGGGGGGTAGGCGTCTTGAGGGAATTCCTCTGTGAGGGGGGTATAGATAATTTGGAACTACACAATCTTATTAAGCCCTACTATGGTGATAAATGATATTGATGATAATGCATGATGATGTCAGAATAGGTTATGGCTGGTGATGATCTAGATAGTTTGTTGTGATTACGGTGTTAATGTAGTCAAGATGGTAATGATGTACTGTAGTCAAGATGGTGATGATGGGAATTTTGGTGGTGGTATTGTTGTCAGAATATTGTAGATTGTGGCTAATGGTGGTGATGATGACATACATGTATAATGATGATGTTGGTGATGTATGGTTGTTGATGATGGTGTTGATAATATGTTCCCGGTGAGAATGGGGGATGACAATTATTATGATGCTGCTTGATGATGATTGTGCTGACGATGGTGCTGACGATGGTGCTGACGATGGTGCTGACAATGGTGCTGATGATGGTAGCTAGTGAGTGACAAAACTAATTCTGCTGTGATAAAACAAAAATCATCCTACTGGATTACAGGTAGATGTTGAGGCACCAGACCTGACAAAATTTCCAAAATTCAGAAATGCTGTGTACCAAGAATGCATCCTAAAAGAAGGTCAGGCATTGTTCATCCCTCCTGGATGTTGGCATTATATCAGGTCTCTCTCTGTTAGCTTTTCTGTTAGTTTTTGGTGGTAAAAATTCTATTTAAAATCTGTAAGATGAGATTTTTTGTACAGAATGTCAAAGGTGGTAGTACTGGTTATGAGTGATGGTGTGTAGTAAAAATTCAAGACACCTTTRAGAYAAAATGTTTTTAAATTATCATTATTAAATGACAAACAAAAATCATACCAAAAAACATATTTTATATATATATAACTTATAGTGTTATTACCTAAAATTGAATACAAAGCCATTTATTATAGATATGTTCATGCATCATGAAAGAAACCTTTCATACTTCTAACTATTCCCTGCCTTTACTAAAAAAATAATTTAGGCTGCAAAAGTACTGCCTCTAGTAAACTTTTTTGATAAGAGTAACAAGTTTACTGGGCATTTTGAGTGGGCCATTCTGGTTGCAACTTGTTTTAGAACTGTGTTCCACGATGTAAAAAAAACATGTTAATGTTGCACGGTATATAACAGAGGATGTTACACTTTATTATATTTYAAATGTTCCTGCAGTCATAAAAATTGGAAATATCTTAGATTATGTATCATTTTGCTCTTGTAACCAACTTCTTCGAAACATTGACCATCTAACGCTTACTGTCCCTCTTAGCCGGACAGAAACTTATAAGAATTCATTTTTTATTCGTATATGTTGTCTGTGGAATAATCTTCCACTTAATATTAGGGAGTCATGTTCTCTATCTGTTTTTCGTAAGAATTTATTGACGTTTTATCGTCATWAATTTCATGTAAATTTTCTTAGTTAAWTTAACTTTAGGTTATATTGTACTGGCATATGTATCTATTATTAGTTATTAGTAAAAATACGCAGGTGATTATACTTAGAAAATCTCGCACGCTKATTGGTTAAGAAACTCACACTATCACACGATAATCACCTCGAGCGAAAATCCAAAATGGCGGCCAGCSRCTTTGTTGCTGTTACCGGAAAAAAATGCCTTTTATCTTCTTTTTTTCTTTTTTTGAAAGAATCACCTGTGTATTTATACTAAAACAATTATTCGCCAAAGGCGAAGTGATTATTGGGGAATATTTACCTTGCTGCTCGAAGACTCACGTCTCGATAAATATTCCCCGATAATCCATTCGTCTTCGGCGAATAATAATTGTTAATTATTAACTTGTTTATTATTATAATAATTATAAGTTATTATATTTTGTATATATATAATCAATTTTTCTATTATAGTTTTTATCATAGTTATTATATTTAGTACGGTGGCCTATACTAGGGAATCATTGTATTCTGTTCTAGGCTAATGTATTTGGAAATTTGATAACATTAAATTAAATTAAAAGTAGAAATAAATTTTAATCCTGAAAGATTGCATCAAGGCTGCAATAACATGATTKTAAAACCATATTTGGTATTGTTACTCCTGGCAACTTGCTTTGAACCAAAATTATTATTGAATTATGCGTGCTATATTTGCTATTGAAGTCATGAGGCTGACRAAGATGCCTCAACTAATCTCTTTCCAGAGAAGAAGACCCCAAGACCACCACAAATACAACCRAAAACAATCACAAACCACCTCAATGCAATGTCATACCAATGTAGCTCATTCCATTTAAGTTTTATATGAAAGTAACAAGGTAATATAAAACATAAACAAGTTCCTGTGAAGCTGCCGACGAACCCCATGACCAGGGCAAAATGCGGAACCATRAGAACCAGGAAGAGAGCAAAGGTCAAGATGAAGGTGCGTGACATTAAAAGCCATAACCAATGATACTGGGAGTCCTGAGTTAGGTGTGGAAAGTGGGGTAGAAATTTGTGATCAACTGTCTCTAAAATAACATAGAGGTTTATAGGAAAAGCAAGGAAGACATTGCTTATTATAAAGACATTCGCAATGATATTGAACACTTGGCTTGAGCGCATGTTTACAGTGATGACTTGATCGGTAGTGTTGCCGAAAACCAACACTGCAAGAAGACCTAGCAGAAGCTTAACAACAGCGGCAAAAGCAAAGGAGGAATTCATCATCATTGGGTATTTTCTTGGCTCTTTCATGCTTGATTCTACTCCTGGGAAAACAGCATGAGCAGTGTAGCTGAAGACTATTATACCAAACCCGACAGGAAATGCTTCAAAGTTAAAAGGTGGTATATTTTTGATGGACATTAAGTCATACTGAGTTACGCAGAAGATTATGATTGTCAATATTCCACACATGAGAGAGAAGACAGACGCCATACTGACCCACGCAATGATTGACACTCGTCTCACAAAGGCCAGYGGAAGGGCTACATAGGTGCAAATGACTGCCCAGTGTAGTATAGTCAAGGATGTCGTGTTCTTGAACATCTCAGTGAATATAGTTGCTAATAACACAATATACATGATAGTGCCGCCAAACATTTCACATACTTGGATAACACTGAGRATGTTGTTGCCCCATCCCGGCCAAACAGCTTCTCCAATTTCAGGGTAATTTGTACGCACCCTTTTTCTCTGTCCTGTCCGCTTAGATCTTTCGTACAAGCATTCAATAAGAATCTTTCCAGTGAAACAACACATCCAAGCGATCACTACAATCATCACGACACCAACCCATCCTCCCATGAGYACTCCGTACGGGACACCAAGGATCCCGGTTCCTTGAATCAAGTTGCTTACGTTCCAGCCGGCTAAGAACGCTGACGCCCGGCGGTCAAAAGATGGTTTCTCTATAAGGGATATGGTGGCTGTTGCTGATCGTAGTCTCCTGATACTCTCAAAGAATCCTCCYTTCTCGTAGATACGGTAAGAGATCTCCTTTCCACCGTCGTTGATAAGAGGGGATTCTTCGTTTGGAACAGGTTTTGTTTCACCATCGCTGCTGCGGTCGCTCAAAGCAAACTCCTCTCTCCTTCCTGCGTCTTCCATCGCTAACGATTTTCGCTACTTCTTTGCAATTCTTWTGCTGGTTATCGAGATACACGAAACAAATGTACARCCAACAAACTACGTACGAAATTGAGCAGCCCACGTTGATGTTTACTTATCTAGCATTGAACATGCTCGAAATGCTTTAAGTAGTTCAAATTACATACATGATTGCGCTGGGGGTGGGGCTGGGGTAACACTTGTCGTTTTTCTGAAATCGTTTAAATAGTTAAGATTTAAGGAACTTTGAAGGATATTTTTCGTTGCTTTTACAAATAAAAGAATAAATTGTCGATCCCAAGCTTTRTTTTCCTTTTTTTAGAAATCAGGGCTATTTATAGTATTTTGCAGAGCTCAGTGAGAATATTAAAGAGGTCTTTGTTCGATATTGGTCCCTGGTAATTAGAATACAAAAGATTTAATCCTGTAATATAGATTTAGAGGTTACATAAATGCATGTACAAAAAGTATAATAGTAAAAAAACTAAAGCTATGAGAAGTGTCATTTTACTTATTCTGTGAATCAAAATTGTTAATCAGTGAAGGACAGTCAAAGTAAAAAATGAAATTTTTTCACAAGACAAGAAAAAAATCACTCTAGATTTACGACGAAAAGAGCCTTTTCTCTTGCAATACTGATTTTTGATAGATTAAGAATTAAGATTTTGGGCGGATCCAGTGGAGGAAAGCCGAAGGCGAGGGAAGGAGGGGAGGGTCAGATCAGCTCCAAAAGTTTGAAGCTTATGCAGTAATCCAAGTAATCCAAGTAATCCAAAGTCCTAGCTTTTACTCGTAACCTTGATCTTGATTATTATATGACCGTGAATCTTAGAGCCTGGACACTAGCAAATCGAGCAATCTGATTGGATAGATCACATCGCGGACTGGTCTAGATTTCCGGTATTAACCGGTCCGATCGCATATTAATCTTACGGCGAAAACATTTTGTCCTTTTCAATGAAAAGTGGTCATATTATAAACCTCTTAGCAACCGAGCTTGGTCGGTCTGTACGGGATAATCTTGACCTCGGTCTGTACATTCCGACCTCGGTCAAGATTATCCCGTACAGACCTCCCGCTCGGTTAATAAGATCTAAATATGATCTTAAACAATATATAAATATATATACATATAAAATGAATTTTTTATTTATAATTATTCAATTTTTTAAAACCGTCACTCTATATTAATAATACTTTTTTTCATGAAAATAACCTTTAAAATCACTCTGTATTTAACACTATGTACAAACACCCTCCCTAGTATAGACCCTTTTCGAGTTCCAAATAGACCCCTKTCGAATTCCAAATTACCGCTGTGTTCCATGATTACAGASTCATTTGCACAGGGTTAGCCTCGWATCAGTGTTTAAATATTCACAAATACCAACGGTAAAGTAAAGAATGCACAACTTCAGCAATACAARCATTTTGAAACTCGACGGACCTTGACTGGAACACGTGAATATTCTGCACAAAMTCGAGGCTAACCCTGTGYAAATGAGTCTGTAATCAAGAAACACAGCGGTAATTTGGAATTCGAAASKGGTCTATTACCGCTGTGTTTCTTGATTACAGACTCRTTTACTCAGGCTTAGCCTCGAKTTTGTGAAGAATATTCACGTGTTCCAGTCAAGGTCCGTCAAGTTTCAAAGTGTTTGTATTGTTGAAGTTGTGCATTCTTTACTTTACCRTTGGTATTTGCGAGTAATTAGACACTGATTCGAGGCTTAGCCYGAGCAAATGAGTCTGTAATCAWGRAASAMAGCGGTATTTTGGAACTCGAAACTGGACTACTGGGTGAACCAAYTTTTCATTCAATAAATAATGTCTTTTCCTCACTCAGCACCTATACTGACTGCGCATGATGAAGAGGCAGTCATGGACAGTAACGTTTCGAAGGTCCCGAATACTTTTTGCATGTAAGATTAATAARAGCTTCTTATTTGAAAGATCAGTTCATCAAAACTTATATGGTGATGATAGATTGTACCCATGCTAGACCAGAATGCACCTCGCCTCTAATAATGCATCATTTCATTGTGCCATGATTATTCATTGTGCCATGAATATTCATTGTGCCATGAATATTCATTGTGCCATGATTATTCCCAAGAGGTTTTGCACCATCATGTGCTGGTACCCATAATACAGCTTGGGCTGCCTGTGGTAAGATGGCAGAACAATAAAAATCCCTTTGCTCTCGGGATTTGAATTCTTTCTTATGAAAAACGATTGTATTGTTCCTGCCACCCAACATGGCTGCCATCTCTATTAGGATAAAAACCTTGTTTCTGTGCGCGTAACTGAATTCATCCCGAGGCGTCTAAATTCAAGTGTACACAGGGGGGGGATCTTCTGCTAGCTCCAACCAACAGAGAGTGCAAACCATATRTTCGTGAAATAGTACTARCTAATTAGTACACAATGGCACTAATGAAACAATTAAAAACAAAAGAAATAGAATGATGCGTTTAGTGCTATTTAGTTTTTGTGCTTTATCACGAATATATGGTTCGTACACCAGCTGCCGTGTGAGAAAGATTTACACCAACATATTATCACACCAGCGTTTCAGTCAAGGTCTGTAAGAGTCTTTTTTCTTGAGCCTTTGCGCAGAGCCTGTTGTTACCAGGGGTGGAGCCGTCTCAARCGATAGTTGATCTCGTTTGGACGTCTGGTTACTACGATGCACGTGCTTCAGTTCTTTGACGGAGGCAGCAAAGGTGGATTTGTTTGATGGTTTCCTATAGATAATGAGTGAAAAAATTGATTGAAAAACTAAGCGCTGGCAAAACGATTGTTTGCAAAAGTTGAATACTCACTCATCTGCGCGTCTACTTTGGGGTTTATTGATCTTCATGGATACAAGTGCGTCTGTTAGATTCACAGGTGACGGCCTATTGAAAGCATCAATCAAATCAAACATCAGTTTTATCGATACTCTGATCAACCTCTGGGCTGACCCAAGTCAGGGCACGGCTTACTCACAGATCGATACCCTGAAACAACGCCTGGACTGACCAAAGTATGTGCACGGCTAACTCAAAGATTTTCAGTGCTAAGTACTACAGAACTACAGTACTCTACTCACATGCGATCTCTAGTCCAGGGATTGAACCCGAGACTCCAGATGAATACATTCCACACCTCACCACTCGTCATACCTTGGTGTAACCACATCAAATCTTACCTCACCACATGTCACCACACCACACCACACCACAACGTACTTCACAAGGCCATACAACACCCCACCCCACCACGCCCTACCACACCATACCACACCATACCACCCCACCACGCCCTACCACATCACACCACACCACACCATACCACAACGTACTTCACAAGGCCATACAACACCCCACCCCACCACGCCCTACCACATCACACCACACCACACCATACAACACCACACCACACCACACCACACCACACCACACCACCCCACCACACTCCACCCCACCATAATACCATCAATAGTCAGTAGTTACCTATCTTTGTCGTCTGAGTCAGAAGACCCCCTGGATGAGATAGTCGACGGTGATTTATCTGTTCTGCCATTGGCTGGTGAAAATCTGTTAGTTCTAGGTTTGGTACGCGAGTAAGACATAGGGATTCCTGGTAAACTACTGCGCCTTGGAAGACCTGCGCAACAATGTCAAAAATAGTTAATCAACTATCAATGATACGCTATCTGCATGTATTCATACCCTRTACACTTCACATCGAATTAGCGGATTCCATAGAGAGAGAAAAGCCCTCTGGACTATATGGTATATATACGAATTTCGTTAACTTGTACTTTATAATATGATGGCATCTTAATGATATTGGAYGTGATGACGAAAGTGATGATGAACATGATGATGCTGCTGCTGACGACGATGATGGTGATGAAGATGATAACGTAGATGATGATGATGACAATGATGATGACAATGATGATGACAATGATGATGACAATGATGACGACGACGATGATGATGAGGACGATGATGATGGTGATGAAGATGATAACGTAGATGATGATGACAATGATGAATACAATGATGACGATGATGAAAACGATGATGATGGTGATGACGACGATGAATATGGTGATGAAGATGCTGATGATTAAGATGATGATAATGACGACGACAATGAGGACGGTGATGATGATGACGATGATGATGACGACGATGGTAATAAGATGATGATAACGTAGATGATAATAGTAATGATGACGATGATGACGACGACGACGATAAAGATGGTGAAGATGGTGATAAAGATGATGATAATGGAGATGTTGATAGTGAAGATAGATGAAGACGATGACGATCATGATGACGATCAGTTGAAAGTGCACATATAAAATTTGGAACTTCATACCTTTCGGGGCTCTCCCTTGTTCGGCTTTCTCGGATTTGGACACCCTTCTAGAAAACTGTGCTCGTCTGCTATCGATATTCARTGACTTGTCTTGAAAAACGTCCTGTCAACAAATAGTTAAGCGATAGACCTTTTGAAATTTTAACAAT